GCTGTGGGTCTACGTGACGGTCATAGTAAATCGCTTGCTTGCTTGCAAGTGTAGACTACGCCTAGCGTTCAGTTGCTGGCACCAAACTCTCACATGCGGCTCCCCGAAGCTAGGCTCTGCCTGGCTGCCACACCCCGGTAACCGCCTCGACCCGTGGGCTAAACCAGATGAGGATATCCATGTGTGCATCTCCGCACACGGTAATCTCGGCTCCGCAGGCCGGATGGATCACCACATCGGCATCTCCGAGATGAGGCTCCGTCTGGAACACCGCAGGAGGCCAGAAGTTAAGTGAGCCCTCAGGTAAGCCGGGTATTGCCCTGCCGTCTTTGGTTTGTTTGTTCATGCTTGCTTGTTTTCTGTCTGCTTGTTTGTGTTCGTTCTTGTTGCAAGCTAAATGCCGTTTCGTTGAATTTGCTGTCTTACCCTGCTTCTGCTTGTTCTTGTTTGCCTGGCCTTCGTCGCCCAGCGCGCCCAGCGCGCCCACCACAACCAGCTCCACCATAATCATCATCGAAGCTGATACTGATACCGCCAACTCCTCATGTCCACACTGTCCCACGCGTTTAACTCGCGCATCGGTCTGGTCGGTCACTTGTGAATCCATCGCATAGAGACTGGGGAACCAGTACCTGGAGCACCATCACACACCCGGCGCATCCGCCCCAACTGTCCTCACTGCACCCGCACATTCATCCACCGCATGGGCCTAATCGGCCACATGCGCATCCACGAAAACTTACGGTAGACAACCGCCGGCTGCACCACACATCACATCCTTCCTCACCAGCATCCCCCCGTACATCAACATTACCCACCTCAAGCACCCAACTGTCACCTCCCACGCCAGTGGGAAGTGTGTGTCTCGACTCCGACTCCATGCGGCTCGCTTCCTGCATGTGTGATCCGAATCTGAGACGAAGACGGTGCGTCGAGCACCGTGACTCAGAAGGCAGCCGAATGATGCCCCAAATCAGTCTATGCAGTCTGCCCAGTTGTGTGTATTGTGTGGAGTGGGGGACTGGTGGGCTGAGAGCCAGGCTGCCATGGCCCCTTCTCTAGCGATCTGTGGCAATCTCATGAATGTGAGGAGAGTGTTTGTGCTTTATGAGTGGTGCCTCTCAGTCGAAGACTGTTTAGTTAACCAACCTTGAAGTGTGACGGCCCAGGCTAAATGCAGGACCACCTGTCGCCCTTCTAGGTCAAAAGGTCCGAAAGCGTTTGCCATGCCAGTATCGGCAAACCATGACCCTCGAAGCCTGGTATGCGTTGGTAGTTCCCTGACACCTGGTTCCCTGCCGGTAGATGCGTTTACGCTCCCGTTGGGTATACAGGTAGTGGGCATGGCTGCCCAGTCATCCTCGTCCTTCTGACCCAAGTTGGGGTGTTGTTGTTGTTGGTGAAAAATCCTGGTCAAGTGTGTGCTGTGCACTAGGGGATGTGGTGGCACGCCTAGATGCGGGTCTTCGCCGTGCCAGCCACCTGCGTCCTTCCCCGCCCCCGGTCTTCTTGACTCTGTCTTGACACCGGGACCAGGTGGGGGGGAGGAGAGGGTACGGTAGATGCTGCGCAAATTTACCATCGCTATAAACTAATTCACGCGTAAGTCACCATATCTGCTTCACCTTTCAGTGGAACACACGGTGGACATCCTCGGAACCGACGGTCGAACTGTCGGTAACTATTACGGTATTTTATACTTGTATTTGCTTGTAGGATTTACGGTAAACAGTTTTATACCGTCCGTGTGTATTGGGAACACCATGAGACAATTGCGTTCTACTTTATGAATAAAGAGCTACTAAGTTTTGGTTTGGTGTCTCAAGGATATCTCCTATGCATAGAGAGGAAGGCTGAGCGAAAAGTTGCTTGACAGCTGCTGTATTAAGTGAACATAAAAAGGATTTTTCCTTTCTTTCATAATTACGAACTTTTTAAACTAAAAGATACCCTTTCGTTGAGCATAAAATTCTAAAAAGAAGTGGGGTAACAATTGGGAGATGGCACCCAAAAAAATTCCGTTACCGATGAGAATATGCCGGAGGACTGCATGAGTGTTCGTCCACAGGCTGATGAAAGGAATAAAATAAGGGTATTTTACTGAAGGCCGGAAAACTTTAAAAGCATACAATCATAGACAGACGTTGTCATCAGCTAAGCCATTTCACAAAATGGCAACTCTCGTCGGGGTCAAGTGCGGCGATGTTTTCAGTCACGTCCTCTGTGTTTATTGAACGTGCAGTTTTTAAAGCGAGGATATGAAGGCATAGGGTCATGAACAGCACAACGTAGAACGTTTCCTTTAGCCAACTGCCTTCCGCTTTCAATCCCCTATTTAAAAAAGCAATTAAGCAGGGAATACGAGCTGGATCCACTTCATATTATCTGCCTCTTCAAGTAAACCCGACACCGCGCACATTTTGTTGCCATATAGTGATGAGGTTAAACTTTATCGTTCGAAAAGCCATTTCTGAAAAAAAACTTCTTAGTATTATTTATATTTATCCACGCAATCGAAGGCCCCACCCGTAAAACCCCTAATACCACCTGTCCCGTAAGACAGGCTGCTGTGGTTGGGCGGATTTTTTGGGTGCCATCTCTCAATTGTTACCCAGAAGTGGTTTACTATGAAATGGGCACAAGGAAGAATTTTTTGTGTATGGTTTCTATACAAGATATTTGACTTTATAGGGGCATCGACAATCAGAGGAAAAAAGCATACTGCATATGTAGTCACTTTGTTACTAATGGACTTTCTGCTGGTGGCCAAAAAGAAGCGCATTCAAAAGTTGGCATCTTGGTGTGACTGAAATATCTACAGATTTTGCTGGTCAGAAGTCAGTATTACAGTCCCACCAACGTAATTCTTTATAGTCGAAAACATATTTCAGGAATCTTAGTTAACATTTCATTAGGTATGTCATCTACTGTAATATCGTGTCCACTCGAGGCTAGTTAATCAATCAAACGAAATGATTATGGTGGCCGGAATTCCTTCGTCCAGACCTACGGGCTCCTCAGTTCCTGTACTTCAACAATATATGAATACGTGGTGAGGCTTTCAACAGACCCCCTAATGTTCTCTAAAGGTAATGCAGTAGATTGCTTCTTTCAGTAACGGAGGGATTGGGTCATGCGGGCACTAAAAACCAAAAGCTGACTTTGCCTGCCACCGTCCGGTGACGCAAACCCGCATCACGTAGAGCGTGCGTGCGGTGACGTGTTACCTGACGGCATGAGTCAGCCTGCGCCATTCCGGCCCCTTTTCTGGTTATCCCCAAAGGAGGCCAATCGAGGACAGGCGCTGCCTGCGCTACTGACTCAACGGGGGGAGAGAGCGCATATAGACGGCACTCTGAGCTGGCTGCTGGCCTGGCTATGGGGACAGGCTGGGAGTCCGAAATTGTGCAGTTGGTTGCGATGTCTCACCCCAGCCCATACCCAGCCTGCCGTCCTGATGCGCACGTGTACATTCGCCTCTAAATAAGGGTATTCCGAAACTGATATCGTCTGGTCATCATCCCTGCATTTTATATTCCGCCTTAGGATGCTTCTGGCTCTTAGGGATGTTTTCCGTCTTTCCAATTACTTGTTTACTCATTAACACATGTAAAAGTACTGCCCACCAACATGAGGTGCAGTAGCCACAGGATATTTATGTCCCAACATCATTAACAACTAGACCCTATTGCGGCGACCGAATCAGTCAAGTTCTAAATTCCTCCTGGGCCTGACTGACTTTCGAAAACTCTGAATACGAGCTGAGCTCCGCAAAGACGGTAGTAGACTTAAAAAGGCGTCTGAAATAGGAGCCCTTTTATAGGTTCCGCCCATTGCATGCATGCTCTCATGCTAACAATTTCGAAGACTTTCACATTTGACTGGTAACAAGGTTTTCGCGCATGCAGCAATATACCACTTTTTAGACCAAGATGCTGGGATATGCATATCCACTAATATACGCGTCTGGTTTACTTTTCTCTCTTTTCTTCGGAAGTCCATAATTCGTACATCAAAACCTAGGTTCTCAGTAATGAACAACTCCCCCCCATTTGGCGTTCTATGTTATGTCGACTGAACAATGACCGACGCACCCGGCTGCATGCGTTTCTCAATGCCCGTACTATCCGTGAATGGGGAGTAGATCGGTAGGTGGAATTCCAGGTGGGCCACTTAGTGCCAACTCGTCCGACAATGGACAGGAACGTATTAGAGCCCACGAAGGGATCTTCTCCTAATAACACAAAAACAGTGAAGTGCTCAAAGACAGCAGTCTGGTGGTTACGGGGGTGTGGCCACATAAAACGGCGTGGGGAGGGGAGGCAAAAGTGCAAGCCAGTCCTTAAAAACTCCTGCGTTAAGGTGCTCAGTTAGGAGCACCTGTGCATGAGTGGTAGAAGGCACCATGCAAATGTTGACTGCTCCGCACAGCCCTTATCTGCCACCCGACACTCGTAGGCGGCTCCCCAAAGCTAGGCTCCGTCTAGCGGTCACATCCCGGCACCTGCCTCGAACGGCGGGCTAGACCATATGGAGGTATCTGGCGTTGTGTCCCGACAACTCGTAATTCTGTTCCCATTCAAATTCCCCTCCCCGTCTTCCTGCCTTCCTTCCCTACTTCCTTCTCGTAGCCTCGCCATTCCACTTCCAAAAGTTCTACGGAGAGGGCAACATGCAGGCCCATAGGCTGCCAAGGCTAACTCAGATCACCCTCTCACTACAGATGGTCGCGAACCCTAATGGGGTGCGGTAGTCGTCTGGGACGTCTAAGCAGCCATATCTAGGTACAACACTGTTCTAGCCCCTCGGAATGAAGGGGCTAGAACAGGTACCCTAAAAAATGTTGCAATCGCTTCATCTACGCACAGGCTGTGGCCCACAGATATACCAGTCAAGGTCAAAGCAATTAAACAAGCAACAATACACACCGCCCTCTCCCAGTCTCGCCCCAGAATCTGTTTGGGTGGGTACGCTCACTGCGGCAGCCGGGGATGCTCGTTCTAGACAATCCAAAGAGCAAATGGCCGGAACGGAGGACGGCGCCATTCGCTCAAAAACTGGGGCGTCTCATAATGGGCGTCGCTCCTCTCAGCGAGATCTGCTTCTCCTAAAAAGGCCAACTGGGGAAGGTGGGTGACGCCTAAACCCTCTTCTGGAGCGGCCGCCCAAAAGCAGGGCGACGTGACGCAGGCGTCGCCTTTGCCATCCGGAACGACATCGTAGGACAACTGTTGTGTCTGCCGCAGGCCATCAAGGACCGCCTCATGACATCGCGCCTGCCCCTTTGGGTAGCCAAATTCGCCAGCATAATCAGTGCCTACGCTCTCTCCCTCCTCCCTAATGACCAGCTTCAACGGGGCGAAGAACAACTTCTACGATAATCTGCACGCCCTCCTGGCATCTGTACAACAGATGGACAAGCTAATTATCTTTGGTAAATGCAATGCCCGCACGGGCACAAACCACAGTGAGACAAAGGACTTCTTTCGCATCAGTCAAGACGGTCTACGACCGCACAGTTGAGGGAACTGTGTCACTTCTTAGCTTCAACGTAACAACACTTCTGACGGAGAAATACGAGATCATGAAGCTCTGGGCTCAGCACTTCAGAAAAGTCCACAACCGTCCCTCCACAATCTCAGACGCTGCCACCGGCTGACTACCCCAGATTGGAATGCATAACGACTTGGTCCTCCCGTATTCCCTTCCAGACCCGTCCTAGTCGTGGACCAACTCTTCAGCGGGAAAGCACCGGAATCGGACGTGATTCCGGCCGAAGTCTGCAAGCACGGTGGCCCCCAGATCATGTATCAACCTACGACGCTATTCCAAGAGATTTGGTGCTGCGGACAAGCTCCGCAGGATTCCAGGGACCCGACAACTGTCCATCTTTACGGACGGAAAGGAAGCGTAAACTCTGTGATAACCATGGAGGCATTTCGTTGCTTAACATACCGGAATTGTCTTTGCTCACATCCTCTATAACTGCCTCAATTGCCGTCTCGAACAAGTACTTATCTCGAAAAGCCGGTATGGCTTCCCTCTACACGATCTTTGCCGCACGCCGTCTTCAAGAAAAGTGCCAGGAGATTCAAACCCGCCTCTACACTACCTTCGTCAACTTGGCGGAAGCGTTTGACACGATAGACCGCGCAGGACTGTGAAGAATCATGCAGAAATTCCACTGGCCTGAACGATGCATGCACATGGTGTGACAACTCTACGGCGGGATGACGGCACGCGGGCAGTGGGACTGTCTCAGAAGCATTCACAGCGACTGACGGAATGATGTTGGGCTGCGTACCCGCTCCCATCGTCTTCATCCTCATGTTCTCTGTCACGTTGATGGATGCCTACCGCGATGAGTGCCCCCGGGTCTGCATCGTCTACGGGACCGATGCCCATCTCCTCAACAACAGATTCCGATGCGACTACTGTCCATGACCTGCCCTTCGCGGACGACTGCGCAGTGACAGAAGCAGACATGCAAAAGGACATGGACCTTTATGCCGCCGACCGCGCCAACTTCGGACTAAAAATCAACACAGACAAAACAGTGTTTAGGCATCGAACGCCGCCCTGCACTTAACGCAACGTCCCTCACATCCATGCTAACGGCACCCAACTAAAAGCCGTAGAAATTTTCACCCATGTGGGCAGTACACTTTAGCGCACCACTGTGAAAACCAAGGACCTCTCATATTTCTCCGTGAACATTGCGTTCTTGTCTTTTTTTCTTGTGCTACTTACAGATTAGAGTGTTGTGCCTGGAATATAATTCTGTCAGAGGGATTTGGGAAAATTTAGAATAATGTGGATTCTAAGTAAAGATTCCTCTCACTGAAGAAGAAGAAGAAGAAGAAGAAGAAGAAGAAGAAGAAGAAGAAGAAGAAGAAGAAGAAGAAGATAAGGCGATCGCCGGAAACAAGATGTTTATTGGCCTGATGTTTCGGATTTTCCCTCGAATCCATCATCACAGTCGCAGGAAAGAGCCGTAGATGCACAAGGGGCGCAGTACTTATACGACGCAGTTGCCCGAAACCCACATGCCTACAATATTCGGCAGCATTCGCGTCCATCGCTGGGGCTCATATTTGATACGATAAGTGCTTGTCGGTTCGTACCCAGGACATTAGTAGCCGTGATTTCATCACAATTGTAGATTTTTGGCGTGACGATTACTCAGCAATTTGGCACACTGTCAATGAAACTGTTGGTCGCCCGAGACCTCCCCGCGTGACTAATTATTTTTGACCCGGCGGTTGATGAAATCGCAGTAAAATTAATCAGTTACTTTTAATTGCATTTCCTGTTCTTTTAGTGCAGATACCAGGATGCATATGGTACCCCCAAAATTAGAGGAAGACAACCTTGAATTGCAAATCGATTTCTGTCAGTAGAGTAGGAAAGTTTAGGGGAAAAGTTGGCAACCATCGGGTGAAGGACTCCAAACACACACGACCAGCCAAAGGTGCCTGTCTTACATTAAGTGTCTACATCGATCGCTTCTCAACCCTCTGAGCTGAGTTCATTGTAGATAATGCAGCTCAGAGAGTTGAGAAGCTATCGTTGGAGAGGCTTAATGTTTATTTTTATAATTGTCCTGCTTAATTTCGGTTGTTATATGTCAATACAATAAAACTTTTCTGCGCGAAGAACGAATTTACCAATTATCTATACTTATTTTGCACTTCTCTAAGCCCCGCCCGTAAAACCCCTATTACTGCCTTCCTCGTAAGACAGGTACCTTTGGCTGGCAGTGTTGGTTGGGGTCCTTCACTCTATCGTTGCCGAAAAGTTTTAGTTTGAGGACTGGGACGGAATTAATTCCTACCTGATGTCAGCAGAAGCCAGCTTAACATACACGGGTTCTCACGCAAAGGCCCGCACCGACGCCATACTGAACAATGGCTATACTGAACCAACTCGGTATAAGTGGAGAGTAAATCTGACGAAATGATCATCGCCTGGTGACGAGCGTAAGCAGGAGTTCAAAATATCGGGAAAACTCGGCGATGTTTATGATGATTGAATCTTCTTCATGTGAAACAAATTTTATCGGTTCCTGTCGGAAACTCTTGAAATGTAAATATTGGCCCGCTTGGTCACCCGACTGTATGACCGCCGTTTCCGATGATGTCCATCATGAGCTCCATGGCCGAGGGCGTGAAGGGACGGTGGAGTGTACGTGAGTTATTTTAAAATTACAGTAAACTTGCGCAGCATCTACCCCCCCCCCTCTCTCTCTCCCCATCCGGGCCTGGTGTCAAGATAGATTCAAGATTACCAGATGTAGGGGAAGGCGCAGGTGTTTGGCACGACGAAACCGCGCACTTAGGCGTACCACCACACCCGCTGGTCCACAAAGGACACTGCCCAGGATCTTACATAACAGCTGCTATTTACGCACCCCATCAAGGATGAAGGGATAAAACTCTTCGCTCCAGACGTAGGTACTCTATTTCTGTGATAAATCTGCCTTGTTTACTACGAGGTTCCAAAGTAGTCCAGTTATGATGTAGTGGGTGATGATTTTCACGCTGCGGATCCACATGAAACGATGTATAACGCACGCCAGCAAAAGCTCCCTCGGCAGAGATGAATCTTCTGTGTGATGGGGTGCTGATGTGGCGCTGGCTGTTGTGGATTTGCCAGTGCCTTCGCTATGCGCGGCCGGTGTACCGAGGCCGGAAGAATTTGTCTCCTCGGATGCGTCACCACTCACACACTGTCCCAGTGTGTCCTGCTATAGCAAGAGCCGTTCGGCGCAAACTCTTTTGACGCTCTCACAAACAAACAAAGCAGCTTGACCTTTGTGTGAATGTCTGCCACTAAGCCAACCACTCACACGTGGCGAGACGGTTCAGCCAGCTGCAGCCCCCATTCATTAACTCCCGCTGAGAGGGCTAATCCTCCGGCTGTGTGCTTTCTGCAGCGATGCGGATTCCCATTCAATCCCATCTCCCTTTATTTTCATCTGGGAGCTTGCTACTCCCCTGTGACGCACTTTATCACCTACATCTAGCTGGCTCGCACCTAAACAGCTGTCTCAAATGGCCGATCGCCTGATTCAGGTTCACAGCTGTAACTAGCCATCGCGTAACTTCCGGATGGATTTGGGCTCACGTCATGGGCGTCATGAAATCTTTTTAGCCTCTGAATTGGACATACAGAGACATCACTTCGTTTATTTCAATGCGATGTATTTTCACAAAGGACATGTGTGAGTGACCACACGTTTACCAGACATCCTTCTCTTGGCCCCCAAAGGGCCCACATGGTAGATGCACTGGACCAACACGGGGGCCATATCGGATTCTGGCAGGTGTTATCGGATTGGCACATCATAACAAATGCCCACATTTCGGGGTGCGGTGGCAGACCCGGTTGCCGGCAGACAGCACGCACACTGGAACCGCCGCCACCCCCCTTGTTGTCGTTGGTCAAAAACTTGGTCATTTGCTGTGTGGACCAGGGAGTGTGTAGTGGAGCGCCAAGGTGCGGGCTCGACAGTGCCATCCATCTGCGCCCTCCCCTGCCTCCGGTCTTCTTGACTCTGTCTTGACACCGCGTCTAGATGGGGGAGGAGGGGAGGGTGCAAGTTTACATTCACTATAAACTAAATCACGCACAAGTCACGTCCCTGCTCACACCCTGCGGTGGGGCATACGGTGGACATAATCGAATCCGACGGTCGAACCAAGCATCCCCGTAAAAGTCAGTCGCCAAATAAACAGCAAATAGGCCTTTAAATATTTACGTCACAGTCTCTGTGGTCGATGGAAGCGAAGAGGCGAGTTATGGGAGGTAGCCGAGAAGGTGATACGATGATTGGAACAAGAGTTTTTATGTGCCTGACGTTTCTGATTTCCACTCGAACCTATTATCGGATGCATAATCAGATATGGGTAATGTTTTACACAAGTGTTATCGCATATATATTATGTAGTTAGTATGCCACTAAGTACTTATCAAAGTTGGTGGCTCTCGCATTCGTTGCTGATAACTGCAAGCGGTGTGATGGTCCGCAACCGAGCCGTTAATTGAAATAATTTTATTAGTCGGGTGTGTTCTTTGGTCATTTGACTTACCAACACTGATATTGGAAACAGCGCTCGCTTGTGCGCTCCCTGCATAGCTATAATCACTCTGTCCGGTCAAAGTCTCATCATAGAATACGTAGACGGGAGGTCATTGCGTTTGTAAATCGATTGAGAATCGTAAAATCATGACCCTAGCAGTTCTCGCCTGGCCTGCACGCCACCTCTCACGAGAATTTTGGCCTCCTTGAAGTTGTGCAAGGCATTATCCTTATCTAATTCGGTCTTTTTGATGGATCCAGGTGTGAGTCTGAAAAGTTAGGTAGATAAAATTCTTTCTCCATTGATCGCATCTCCTCCTTTTTAGTTTCTTCTTATTGTGGATGTGGACAAAGTTTCCGCTTATAGCATTTCTGTTACGTCTGCATGCTGGAAAATCATCTGGTTCAGTATCAGTAGCAAGTAACTATTGATTTAATGTTTTCACCTAGTTAAATGTATCGGCTTTCAAACTAGCGGATTTTAGACTAGCTATTTATTTATAAGAAGAATTAAAGGAACACAGCCGGGACCCTATGTCTTAAGAATGTTAACTGGCTTAAACGGAGTCCTGAAACATTCTTCCATCCCCCCCCCCCCCATCACTAATTCAATCGAAGAGTCAACTATTAACTAATAGAATGTCTAAATATAGCGAAATTCGTGTAGTTGGGAAGCTAAAATTTAAAGCGCCGTTCCAGCATTTGGCACTGAACAGAAATACAAAGTATTTGACTAAGATACGCGAGAGTTCGACCGTCGCATCCGACGATGTCCACCGTATGCTCCACCGCAGGGTAAGAGCAGGGACGGTGACCTGCGCGTGATTTATAGTGAGAGTAGACTTACGCTGCATCTACCACACTTCCTCCTCCTCCTCCCCCACCTGTACCCGGGGCCAAAACAGAGTCAAGAAGGCCGGAGAAGTTTTGCCTTTCCACTCCACACCCCCTGGTTCACACGACAAATAACCAGGTTTTTGACCAACGGCAAAGAGAATGGAGGCTGGCACGGCCGAAGCCGCACCTGGGCGTGCCGTCACACCTGGCCCGGATCCCATGGAGTGGGAGTGCCATAAATGCCACTTCATACAGACACACGGCTCTGGGCCGACTACGAGGTCCAAGTTATCCCGTCAGTTACCACGGCTTATAGCGCACCGTGATAGCTTCACATGCGTCAGATTGTTTACAGCGAAGTAAATGCGCTGAGTCGTCGACCTCACTCTCCCTTCCCATTCCCATGCCTCAGCCACTGCCTGAGCCGGTCAGTTGACTGCAGCGGGGAATGGGAGCGGTGGATGGCATAGTCTAGTGACCTTGTCTACGAGCGCCACACGCACAACCTGGTCCCCCTAACACAGGCTCCAGAATTTCACACAACGGGGATTGAGCAGCGTATCTCTCGCTTGCGTGAGAG